GGGGGGGGGGGGGGGTTCTTTTGAGCAGATTCGACCAAAAGGGAGACTTTTTGAGAGGGTATTTAGCCTAAGGAGGCAAGAACATATTAGGAGCAAAGAAAAGAATTCTTCTATGGGTTTTTCACTTCCTTCTTCCTATTTTTCATTATTGGTTATGAATTCTAGTATTGTAGTTTTGCATACTATTATGAATAGCTAATTTGTTATCTAGAGTTTTGATAAAACCTTTTGTAGGATAAATTCTTATTATGTTTTTATATAATTGAGCCGTCGGATTTATCTACTTATTCAATTAAGTGTTTATTGTTGTTGATTGTATGGCCATCAATTAAACTGTGTCTATTTAGTGTGTATATTGCTCGAGAGAGAGTACGCATTTAGGTTGTTGTTGAAAAATATCACTCCTAACGTATGTGAGATAAATACGGAGGATTTAAAGGTAGGATTAGAGATAACGAAACCTTGGTGCGATCGTAGTGAGCGGTGAATTAGTGCCAGCTAGCGTAGTTCGACAGAATACGTCTAGTAAATTATGGTTGTTGCTGGCGACAGAGCTACGACACCCAAAGTACTCACGATCGGTAGAGAATACTTAGGCGAAATTATATAAGGCGTAGCGGGAAGGATTCTGACAATTGGAGAAATCATAACTCTAGACCTCCTTAGTCTTGTCTCAAATTTCATCCTTGTTAGTTGATAATTGTTTTGCTTTATAATAGTTGTTAGTTAAATAGTAGAAATAAAAAACAAATCTTTATAATTAGAAAATTATTTGGACTTGTGTTTCTTAGCAATATTTAACAACTGTAGCTAAGTCTTAATTAGTTTTATGTGGAATTCAACTCAGGACTTGTAAGCCAGATTATATTTGCAACAAACGTTTAGTCCTTTTCATAAGGCATAATTGAACGTGATAATTAGGTTTAGGCATGCTTACTTCCTTTATTAGATACACCAGTATAGCTTTTCAACAATGGGAATGTTTTTAGCTAAGAATCAAATGCTTCTTTGTTTAGTTTCATTATTACCTCGTGTAATATAAAAATTCTCCAAATATCATGCATAATTTAGGGAAAGTTACATAATAAAATAGTCTAATATATATAAAAAGAACGTGACAAAATTTTAGACATTTCAAAATAAAATGAAAGAAAGTACTATTAGTGGAGAATTGATTCCTTTTTTTCAACTCTCCACTAGTAGCACTTTCTTTCATTTAATTTTAAAATTTCTACAATTTTGTCGCGTTTTCTAAAATAGAGTAGTGGAGGTGTGGATTTCATCTCCTACAAATATTTTGGTTGACCATTCGATGGGTTGATCGAGTTTATCCCTTGAAGTCGTACCCTTCTACTATGCATCAACTTTATCCCACATATAATGAATCTCTCTTACGGGTGCTTATTAGTGGATTGATTTAGGGAATGATGAAAAGTACGGCTACGTAGAGACGAAATTAGGATTTTGAATTTTAAAAAAAGTAATTGAGTTCTAAATAAATTATTTGTACAAATTAAATATATTTTTTTAATACAGATATATGGTATAGGCAAAAATTATTGAGGTCTGCCGAAACCATATGTCAAACGGTAGCTCCGCCCTGCGGCCATGCCACACAACCTCTTTTTAGTACGAAATTTCTCTTATTACATTCGATAAAGGTAGAGGTAAACTAATAAAAAGAAAAATAGAAAAGCAAACGGTGGACCCTTTCCTCTTCACTTTCAGTGTCATGAGCAAGAAGAAGGATCCATCCAAACAAGACTGACTTATTACTGTTTGAAATTACATCAGAATGATTTTCTACTCTCAACAAAAGTATACAAAAGCTAAATAGAATCAAGAATATATAAACTGTCAATATATATCAAAAATTTTGTTCTTATATATTTTTGTGTGATAAACCAGATATGCAAGATCCTACGTATAGTAGTTAGCATGAGGACAAGGGTCAAGGGTACCTAGGAGATGGAGCTATAATTGAGGACTTTTTATGCCTAGCAAATAAATAAGAGGCATACATACATTTCATTCGCATTGATTAGATCGATGACTACGTTAATATATGACCAGTATCGTGTCACGCCCCAAAATTCATCTAGTCGTGATGGCACCTAACCCAACCCGGTAGGTAAGCCAAACAACACTCAACACAACTCTAATGAAAATAATAAGAAACCAATAAGTGAAATAACTGAATTTTCATACAATAACCCAAAGATTGGTAGTACAAGTCATAAGCCTCTAAGACTTTAGGTTTACAAAGCTGATATGAAAATAAATACAATATCTGTTTGGATTATACATAAACAGAGTACAAATCTAAAACTACCAAGGACAAGTGATAGTTATATCTGAAAAGCAGATATATCTTTAGTGCCAGCTACGCCATCCACGACAGCTCAGCTACAAAATCTGCACGCAAGGTGCAGAAGTATAGTGTGAGTACAACTGACCCCATGTGTTGCACCCCATGGGATTGTTAAAGAGTTATTGGAGATTATGAGAGTTTTAAAAGTGATTTGTATTTTAAATTGAATTATTAAGTTAAGAAAAGTGGTTATCTTTGAAGAATAAGTGTTAGAGTAATCTTTGTTTGTAAGAAAGATGATTTTTAAATGTACTTTGGTTTTTTTTTTTTTTTTTTTAGAAGCAAGTCTTTGGAAATTCATTTGAGACTGTCTGTTACTGCGTTTTTTTATGAAAAATATGACTTCGCTCCTTGTTAGTGAAAACTAGTGATTCTTTCCTAATTTTCTTTGAAAACCGACTGTCGTTCAAATTAAAGACCTGAGTTTCAAAACCTTTAAGAAGAGTGAGTATATAAGATGAACAAGTTGAAATTAGCAGGAGGCGAAGATCAATTACTAGCGATTTTCTTTTAAGTCCTATATTAATTAAGGTTTGCCTAAGTTGTATGTGATGCTAGAGCAAAAAAAATAAATACATAATCTAATATATGAGTGTTAATACATAAAAACGAAAATGCGATAAGACATTGAAGGCAATAAGCGAAAAATAATTAAGACAGTAAACTAAGCTACAGAAATAATGGACAGTAATGAAAGAAGTAAGGGAGAAGACTCGACTTTGAAGATTGGGCCACAATAAGGTAGGCCCAACAATTTGAGAGGTACGGCTACAGCAAGACTGGACTTTTCAAAGATGCAACAAGGCTGATTTGGGCCTGAGTTCCTTAGGAATTCAGCAGGCCCAAATGTGTACATGTCCAAAAAATATAAAAGAATGTTATTAGAAATATACTCCATATTCTCAACATATTCATATAAACATGACAGATATATAGACAAATAATTGAAACAAGAAAATAATCAAAATTGTGAGAAATTATATTAATGTGCTGGCTTTACTTAGCAAATAATCCATATTGGAAATCTTTCCTTGTCATTGAACATTAAACCCTTAAAGAAATAAATGCGTCAATGAAATAAGGGCTAAGGAGGAAGCCCCACTCAAGGTCGGTGCCCCCTTTGGATCCCTCAGTACTTCAAAATTCCCAAGGGACTCAAGTCCCAGGGCAATACTTGTGCTGGGGAGCGCAACCCAACTTAGAGTCGAACCCCACTCCCAAATACCCTTAAACACTAACATCATATTTTCTTTACAGGTTTGAATGCCAATGAGGCCCTTCTAATACAAATTAAACGCTAAGGTATTACTTACCACAAAATATACTTTCCTTCCTAACATAAGAACATACAATCTATACTGAATTACCAAGCAAACATGTATTCATATGAATTCTAAAGATCTAATTCTGAAACTCATACAGGTGAACATCAGAAACATCATAAACATGTTGCAAAAGGTTAAGTCTATAGTAAGGTAATTCTCCAAGAAAAGGTAAAGCTATACAAAAATAATTCATAGTGTGCCTAAAAGTATAGTGTGCCTAAAAGTGTCCACTACAAGAAAAAGGATTATTAGCGACCAACACTTAACGACAGGGCGAAAATCTGGTCTTTAAAAGTGTGCGTATGGGGACAAGTTTTTTGGCCGGTCCCTAATTCTATTTTTTTTTGCTAGATTAATTAAAAAGATAAATAGACCGTCCCTAATAAGCTAAGTTAAGCGGGGAGTACAAGGGCCACCGCGCCAATATAAAAACTACTCCTATTCATTAGTTGAAAAAAAAAGACTCATATTAAATTAATCCCCCACCAACCCCCTTCCCCCCTCTCTCTCGTATTTTCCCCAAAACAAAACCCTATCCTCTCTATGTAGTTTTTAATCTGAAAGCATGTGAAATCCTTAAAAATCAACTATCTCAAATTTATCTCTCAAAGGTTGAAGACTCACGTGAAGTCTATTTGAACTGGGTGAAGACTCACAAACCGACAATGAAAATAGTTATCAATCTGAACAGGTTTGTCACTTTTCTTCTGTTTTTGGTCGAAGACTAGAAATTTCTTTTTAGTGAATATTAATTGTAGAGAATGATAATATTTTGTATGGATTTTGTAGACAGTTAATTGTTGCGGTGTAGGGCTTAAAGTGGGAGTAATGAGATGTGAGGTTCGTCGCTAGGGCTAGGTTTAAAGTTGGGGTGTAGAGAAAGGATGATGAGGGAATGAAAAAATCTTCCTTAGTTGTTTTGTTCGTGAGAAGAAATGTAGGTAATAGAAGTCTTTCTATGTTGAGATGTCCCTTTCAATGCAGCAGTAAACACTTGTATTTTTGGGATTGTGAGCGTGCATCCTCAAAAAATAAGAAAAAATACTGAAAGTTGATTAAATTAAATGTTATATAGTCAAAAAAAGTTTATCTTTTTATTATTCCAGAATTAAAAAGAACAAAAAAAAATATCTTTAACCCAAATATGATGTGTTGTATTAGGAAAGGAAAGAAATCTGTAGATATGTAATGTTGTGGTGTCACTTGCTGAAGTTGTTTCACTCTGTTCCTAGATTTTTTCCAACTAAGATAGGTGGGATTATAATTCATTTGGTGTCAAAATTTGACTAGGTTGTTTGGATTGGCTCCACTTATAAGAAAAATCATTTGCTTGAATGCATAGAACCTAATTAAATAGTACCAAAATCCATCTCTTATGAATAGAATGCCTTTGATGAAGCCTCATCTATTTAAACTGTTCTCTCTAATGTGGAATTTGTTACAAAGAAAGCTGCCTACATATTATAAGATCAAATCCTTTGGATTTTGTTTTGCCTTCTAATGATGTTGTGTTAGACTTGTGAGGAAACAATGGATCATATATTTTGTGGTCGTGCTATTAGTGCTTCAGTATTGCTGAATTTTTCACAGTAGCTAGGTCTTAAATATGTACAATAGGGTATTAGAATTATAAAACAATCTAATTAATAACTCAGTTAATAATAAAACTGGCTGATTGTATTAAAATTACTCAACTGAATTACAATAGACTAATAAGGGAAATTGCAATTGAACAATAATGAAAACCAACTGATAGAGAGAAGATAGAAGGAGATGAAACGGAGTGAGATGAGAGAATAGAAAATTCAACATAGCAATAACTTACTCTACTACATTTTCTATTAGCTATTTATAGTATGTTGCAATCTTCACACACTGCGTATTTATAATATGTTTTTTTCTTAACCGTGATTTGAAGTATTCGGAAATTCTCTTCATATGTTGATTATACAAAGAGGTCAACATCATATTACACATGAGGTCATTCTTTTAGCTCACAAACATCATAATTTCTTCAATCTCAATATCTCTCTGCTTGTTTTAATTGAATTAGAAGACAATGTTAAACCCAAATTTAATTCGATAAAAGTTTTTAGGCAATACCTTCATGGTTGATTGATTTATGAAATTTAACTCTGATGCTTCATATATCTTAATATTTATGTATGTTCTTATTGTTTTGAGAGTATGTTGGTTGTTTTGAGCATTATGAACTGCCCGTGTCACTTCATTTAAGCTTGTCACAGTAAAAAATACAGCAAGAAAAAAATGTTACCAAAATTTTAAAATTCCAAAGGCAATTGCATCTTAGTTCAACTTCTGGATGTAAATAATAGGAAGGAAAGGGGTTGGGTGGTGTAGTTAAAAATATTTCAAGAAGGACAATTGTATCTTACTTTAACTAAAAGTTGTTATTATCTTCAGATATTTGTTCACCTTGGCCATTGAAATGGATCTCTGTCTTTACATTAGAGGAATAGAATTATTCTCATCATTTGTTGTAGTTCTGTTATGAGTATAATTTATTTATTGGTTCATTCGATTCTCATGATTCGTCCTTGTCAAAAATAATAGCCCTGGTATAATTATCTCACATAGTTATCCTAGCCCATTTGTCTAATTTGATAAGGTATCTATTATGATCCTGAGATGGGTCGTAAATGAAACTTTCATGACGTTTTTTTTTTGTCAAGCTTCAGAGGGAATATCTATATGTATGGCATGTAAATAAAAGTTCTTACTATAATTCTCACCATCTACTTTGATCTTTTCACATAAATACTTCTTAAAGAACATCTTCCATTGGTGTTCTTAGGTTATGACTGATGTTAGCTATAAATAATAATTACTTTATTTGAACAAAGACATATATGAAGAATGGTTAGTGGGTTCAGCTTTATCCTCCAGATTGTATAATGCCTTTTCTCTTGGGCTCTTAGTTATGTAATTTGCTCAATATCTAGCTCTCAAAATTATTGATTATAAGGTTAACAATAGTTTTACTCTTTCCTATAAACAGCAAATGAAGAAATCTTTCCTTGAATTGTTTGAGTGTGTTTAGTTACTATCAGTGGCCATGAGGTTGTGCTTTAGTAAACTTTTGTATACAGTATGTGCTGGCTTATAACTTATGTGTTGAGCACAAACTGATTTTCAAGATCTAAACTATATTTAGTTACTTCCAGATTGTCTCGCGGGAGGAAATATGGTTCACTGCATATTGGTTATAGGTGTGTACATTATTGAAACTTGTAAAAGTATTGTTACTCGGATAATGTGTTTCGTAAATATGGATAAGTTATTTTACATTAATCTGTATTTGAAAAGTGCAATTGGACTATATATGAAAATGACATGCTTTGAAGGAGAGGAAAGTATGCAATATTCAGGTGTTCCTCTCATTGTTGTTATCTTTCAGATACTTAATATGATCTTCATAATTTTCTAGAAGGAAATTTTCCTTTTTTTTTTACAAGGTTTGAAGAGTTGATCTTACAAGTCAAGATGCAAGTTTTGAAGACTTCGTGCAGTATTCTTTATCACTTGCCAGGGTAGTTAGGAAAAAAGTTATTTTTGCTAAAAGATTGTGTAAAGAGCACCATGACATATGCAACATAGTTATACAATTACCAGTGGGATGTAATACCCTTTTTTGTACATGTACATTTGTATATGAAAGCATGATGTTATTGATATTTTTGTTATGTGCATGTGATTTTCTACAATAAAAATAATATATATATTTTTAAAAAATGACTGGAAAAGACTCTTTAAGGACCAGTAGAACTGGTTACTAAACATTGAAGGCAACAATTTGTTCTATGCTTAGGGACCAAAATAGAAGTGCTTAAGGACCAGATTTGTGGTCTCTAAAAGTGTTTTAGGGACTAGACATTTCCTGTCGTTAAAACGCTTTAACGACCATATGCTCAAACTCGTCGTTATTGGCCTTTAGCGGCGGAGCCTCTAGCGACGGGTAGCGACCAGATTTTACTGGTCGTTATTGACCTTTAAGGACCAAAATCACACTTTTAGGGACCAGTGTTCCTGTCGCTAATGACCGTTTTTCTTGTAGATCATGTATAGAGATTTCACAGGTATTTATGACATGATCAATCTTTCTCAGTAGGTTCACTAACTTACAAACTATAATAGGGAATTCTTAAGCATCATACTCCTAATGGCATTAACTTCAAGGAAATTATCAAGCTCAGATAGCATCAGCAAAGACCCTTATGAGACTTTAGGGATTAGACTTGATTTTAAAATTATCAAGAGAATAAAGACTAGGATAATTCTGGACAGAATGTATACCTAGGAATTAAGTAGGAACATGCAGTAGTTAATCAGATACTTGAACATCTCAGGTCAGTAATGATCTTATGCAGACAGAGGAATCTTTACACGTTTTGAGAGTTGGATCAAGCAAAGTTACATACAAGGGAGAGGCATTGCATCAGGACAATTTTTAACTCAAAATTAATTCCAAGTTAGCTCATGGATACAAAGATGATCATGCTTCCTTTTTACAAATTATTAGTTAACTAGGGCAGAGTAGCTAGGTTCTTTAAAATATAAAGATGCATGATGACCCTAAATATAAGAGATAGGACATATCAAATAAGCATGTTTTTGAGAGTATTGACTAATCAAGAAGAACAATTAAGCTCAGTTTGTCCAATTACCAGTCTTTATAACAGAGAGGAAAGGACAGAATCCTAATCACATTATGAGGAAAGATGAATTATCCTTAACATGTGTTTACAACAGGATTACAGAGAGAATAAAAGAGAGGTTTAGTTTAAATAAGATCATGTCAACAGAAGCAACAAGCAAACTAAACAAAATGAAAGGATATACCAGCAACAAGCAAACTAAACAAAATGAAAGGATATAGCAGCAACAATTTAACAGTCTTAAACAAAGGAGATGGTATATGAACACTCAAAATTTCTGCCAAGGTTTAAAGGGATAGAGAATATAAACTGAAACACCTTAAAATTCATTCAATCATAGTCATTAGAATATAGGTTCAACTTCAGAAACTCACAAGCTACAAAGATGCAGTAGGCAGGGAAAAAAATGCAACAAGCGAGGATAAGGGTTAATGCATGCCAACAAGGCTTATAAGATTCATGTGAACATGTACATATAACAACTTAAACATGTAGATTGTTGGAGCTCAGGAAATAATATCAGCAAGAGTCAATTATAGCTTAATCAACCATCATTTAAAGACTCATAGCAGGACAACTAATCACAAGTAGTGGTTAAAATAACAAAGCACAAGTATTAACATATTAAACACCATAGAACAATTGCAATATACAGAACCTAACTTGGCATACTTGTATCATTCAAAAAAGAAAAGTGAGAGAGATGCTTACCTTTTTGAGAGTAGCAAACCAAACGAGAGCTCTTTTCAATTACTTAAGATCCCAGAACACTCAAGTTTAGACCAATGATAGTACTCAACAAAAAAGCAAAAGAAAACAGTGAGAAACCTAAGGCTAAACTTCTCAATAGTTTTTTTTTGTGTGTATCTCTTCAGTGTTGGATAGTTGGCTTGTGATTTTCCTCTTGGTAGGTTGTTGTAGATGGAAACATTAAAGGCTTCTATTTATAGTGCCATTAAGGTTCTAGGGTTCAGAGAATTCAAATCAGATAGTGGAGAGTGACTCATGGTAATGATGATAGCAAATCGAATAAAAATCAGAAGACAGAGGGGAAATTCAGTATTGAGTTTACGTGAGTGAAGGGTAATTGGTTGTTGACGCTTCGAACCAATGGACAAACCCTAAAACCCATAGGTCACTGCGTTTGATCTCTGGGTATAGGATTCCATGATGATTTTCTGAAGAAGGCTTCATGCATTCTCTGATTTGACGGGGCACGAGAGGATTCGGGCGATTTGAAGTTACGCCTTCAAGCTAGGATTTTCAGACTTGAAGGATTTTGAATTTTTTGATTGAAAAAGGAATTTACAGCAGGATTCACGGGGTTCATAAGATAAGAGGTGATTTTAGGCTTCGATTTGAAAGATCATAACAAAGCTCGAGCAATTTGAGCTTTCACCTTTGAGTCTTAGGTTTCAGAATTAGGGCGTTTGAATTTGGTGATGAAAATGGAAAGATAACAGCAGGATTCACGGATGTAGAGAGGCAAATCGAGTGTTTGTGGTTTGATTTTGTTGACCTTGCATGGATTTGTGCAAGGTCTTATAACTGATGGAGGTTGGAGAGATGAGAAACAAAAGAGACAAAAGGGAAAGGGGAGGCGGCTATGATGATGCAAATGAATTAGGGTTGCTAGGGTTAGACCGATTGGTCTCTGGATTAAAGAAGTAAGGAAGATCTGGGCCATTGATCTTTTCGATTAACGGTCCTGGTATTTTAGCGTTTAAAGGGATTTTCAGAGAAAATTTCGTGGCCGTTGGATTGATATATTTTGAATTTATTATAGAACTTACGCATAGAAATTATTTTTATAATCCAAAAATAGCAGATATAATTTGTGATTACATAATACTAATACCAAATGATTAATTTTGAAACTAATACTGGATTAACTTGTAGAAATAGGTATTCATTACTTGGAAAATACTTTAAAAATATTTATTGCAAATTATTAAGTATAAATAAATAAATTTTAAAAGGGAGGGTCAAAATTGGCCGTTAATAACTGTCCCTCCTTGACCGGAGACGATGAAAGAGTTTTCGGGCAAAGAAATTGAACCAAAGCCAATTTATCTAGACTTTTAGGCAGGTATTGCAGGAAATGGAGATGGTGAATTTGTGGGATTGAATTGAGGAAGAATCTAGAAAGATTTGGGGGCATCAGGCTGATTTCTGGCTTTAAATTGCTTACATACCTCGGGCTTAACGAGGATCAGGCCTCATGTAGTTCTGGAGTAGGGATTTTGGTGAAGTAGCACTCGTAGGAAATGCCCAGTATCATATTGCAATGATACGGCGAGACAGAAAACTGGTCACTCATGGTAGCTTGAATTTTGCAGCCTGATTTGAATGATTCAAAATTTTGAACTCGCTGGTCATCCTGAGCTGGGATCTTAGGCCCGCTACTGGGTTGGCTATCCCCATAGCGTTGTAGTTCAGTCTGCTGCTAAGAAAAAGTTCCACGTTGCAGTGTTTGTTCCTACAAAATAATTGAAATACACGCATACCAATATATTGTAATGTAGAATATATTAAGATGAGATGTAAATGATTTGGGAATGATCATGCCTGGCTACCGACGAGCCGTTATATTGGGATTGGGATGATGGGATACTTAATCTTGACTCGATTTGTTAGCCGAGCTATGTACCGTTCTGCAGCTGTCGGAGAATTTGAAAATTTTCTCCGCTTGTTGGGAGAGTTTGATTGGAAAAGTGCGTCTCTGCTTGTTGGGAGAGATTTGCATTGAGAAATGTCTCCGCTTGTTGGGAGAGCTCGATTCTCAGAGTGCGTCTCCGCTTGTTGGGAGAGCTTTGCACTAAAATGTAAAGTATTCTCCGTTCGGGAGTGATTGATATGTAAGGACCCGTAAAAATTTAAACCAAAAAACTCGGGGTTTCGTGGTGCCAAGATAGATTCTTGCATGCATGTGATAAAGAGTGTGGAAAAAATAAAAAGTGAACTAGAACCATGAACGTTTTCCTAATTTTGGGTTCAATTTGTATATTACTAAAATATATTGAGGTTGCTAAGGGTTCCAGATAATTGTAGAGTATAAAGAAGCGCAATTGAGGTATGTATGGCTAACTCTCTTCTTCCTAGAATCGAACTCCTGGTGTCTGAATAATTGGTGTAAGTTCCAACTTGATTATACTAGAATTATTTGCCTTAGTGTGTTGGGTTGAAAGATTCATATTCCCTAATTGTTTTAGATGTTTACCATGTCATCATGCTATTTGAGAATGCAATTATGATTTTCCAAGCTCCTTCCCTTATGTGTGCAATGCCTTATGTGATGGTACTTATCAACATGAATGATGACGTTATTTGAACGAATAAAAAAGGGAAAGACTTGAATTGTAAAATGTGCCCAAGTGCCGGGAACTATTTAATAATTGAGGCTGTTTGTGCCATGTAGTGAAAGATGGGAAAGAAATGTGAATTGAGTAAACAATTGAAAGAGGTTATGTCTCAAGTGGGATGGCTTAGCCGATCGGCCCGAGATCAGATATCATGCTGTACACATGGTGGCATTTGTGTTGAAATTATTGATTTATATTATGGATATGGATATGTATCACTTGAGATGGCTTAGCCGGTCGGGCCGAGACCGGACTCCATATAAAAATACGGTGGCATTGTGAGTTGTGGCTTTGGCACTAAAGATTATTAACCTAAAAAGATGGAAAGATTGAATTGGAAACTATGTGATCCTTTCTTGGTGTTTCTTTGTATTTCTGTGAAGTACTTATTGATTATTATGGCTGCCTTCTCTTTGTTTCACTGTTCATTCTACTAATATTGGTGTTTGCCTTACATACTAGTACTATTCGACAGTACTAACGTCCCGTTTGCCGGGAGCGCTACATCTTTGAATGGATATAGGTGGTTCCATCGCAGATAGTGCCGATCGCAGATAGTGGTGCTCTCTTTCTCTCCTCACAGCAGTCTTGGTGAGCCCCATTTCTCCCAGGGGTCATGTAGTCCTTCTTTTGTATACGTTTTCATATTTTGAGGTATAGTCGGGG